TACTCTTCACATATTATATTATATAAAAATCATTATTATAAACACAGAAATCTATATACATTCTCCGCAATTAAGACAATATTCTTCACATATAACTAAATCGAAATATAACATATACAAGTATAAAACGAGGTATTATTTATTAATCTTATACGTCAAATAAAATCTAAATAGTTTCTTCGAAATACGATCACGTATATCTCCAGATATTATTGAGTTTCGCGACGATGTTCACTTATATAAATAATTATATAAAAATCATTATTATAAACACAGAAATCTATATACATTCTTCGTAATTAAGACAGTACTCTCCGTGTATAACTAAATCGAAACATTCTTCGTAATTAAGACAGTACTCTCCGTGTATAACTAAATCGAAATATCATAAATATAAGTATAAAATGAGGTATTATTTATTAATCTTATACGTCAAATACAGTCTAAATAACTTCATCGAAATACTATAAAATGCATCTTCGAATATTATAAAGTTTCGCGACGATGTTCACTTATATAAATAACTATATAAAAATCATTATTATAAGCACAAAAATCTATATATATTCTTCGTAATTAAGACAGTACTCTTCGTGTATAACTAAATCGAAATATTATCAGAAAAATAAGTATAAAAAGAGGTATTTTCTAAAAATCTAATATATCTAAAATAGTGTAAGGAGAATCTTCGAAATACGATCAAGTATATCTTCAGATATTAAAAAGTTTCACAACGTTGTTTACTTGTATAAATAATTATATAAAAATCATTATTATAAACATAGAAAACTATATAAATTCTCCGCAATTAAGACAATCGTCTTCACATATAACTAAATCGAAATATCACAAATATAAGTATAAAATGAGGTATTATTTATTAATCTTATACGTCAAATACAGTCTAAATAACTTCATCGAAATACTATAAAATGCATCTTCGAATATTATAAAGTTTCGCGACGATGTTCACTTATATAAATAATTATATAAAAATCATTATTATAAACACAGAAATCTATATACATTCTTCGTAATTAAGACAGTACTCTCCGTGTATAACTAAATCGAAATATCATAAATATAAGTATAAAATGAGGTATTATTTATTAATCTTATACGTCAAATAAAATCTAAATAGTTTCTTCGAAATACAATCACGTATATCTAAAGATATTATACAAAGAATTTTATAAAAGCCATTATTATAAATATAGAAATCTATATACACTCTTCGTAATTAAGACAATACTTTCCATGTATAACTAAATCGAGCTATTTTCAAAAATATAAGTATATAATGAGATATTTTTTAAAAATCTAGTATATTAATAATAATATAAACTGTTTCTTCGAAATACGATCAAGTATATCTTCAGATATTTTAAAGTTTCACAACGTTCTTCACTTGTATAAATAATTATAGAAAAATCATTATTATAAACACAGAAATCTATATACATTTTCCGCAATTAAGACAATCGTCTTCACATATAACTAAATCGAAATATCACAAATATAAGTATAAAATGAGGTATTATTTATTAATCATATACGTCAAATACAATATAAATAGTTTCTTCGAAATACGATCACGTATATCTCCAGATATTATTAAGATTCGCGACGATGTTCACTTATATAAATAACTATATAAAAATCATTATTATAATCATAGACATCTGTATACATTCTTCGTAATTAAGACAGTACTCTTCGTGTATAACTAAATCGAAATATTATCAGAAAAATAAGTATAAAATGAGGTATTTTCTAAAAATCTAATATATCAAAAATAGTGTAAACAGAATCTTCGAAATACGATCGAGTATATCTTCAGATATTAAAAAGTTTCACAACGTTCTTCACTTGTATAAATAATTATATAAAAATCATTATTATAAACACAGAAATCTATATACATTCTTCGTAATTAAGACAGTACTCTCCGTGTATAACTAAATCGAAATATCATAAATATAAGTATAAAATAAGGTATTATTTATTAATCTTATACGTCAAATAAAATCAAAATAGTTTCTTCGAAATACAATCACGTATATCTAAAAATATTATTGAGTTTCGCGACGATGTTCACTTATACAAAGAATTTTATAAAAATTTTTATAAATATAGAAATCTATATACACTCTTCGTAATTAAGACAATACTTTTCATGTATAACTAAATCGAACTATTTTCAAAAATATAAGTATATAATAAGGAATTTTTTAAAAATCTAGTATATTAATAATAATCTAAACTGTTTCTTCGAAATACGATCAAGTATATCTTCAGATATTTTAAAGTTTCACAACGTTCTTCACTTGTATAAATAATTATAGAAAAATTTTTATTATAATTATAGAAAACTATATACATTCTCCGCAATTAAGACAATCGTCTTCACATATAACTAAATCGAAATATCACAAATATAAATATAAAATGAGGTATTATTTATAAATCTTATACGTCAAATACAGTCTAAATAACTTCATCGAAATACTATCTAACACATCTTCGAATACTATAAAGTTTTGCGACGATGTTCACTTATATAAATAATTATATAAAAATCGTTATTATAAACACAGAAATCTATATACATTCGTAATTAAGACAGTACTCTCCGTGTATAACTAAATAGAAATATCATAAATATAAGTATAAAATGAGGTATTATTTATTAATCTTATACGTCAAATAAAATCTAAATAGTTTCTTCGAAACACGATCACGTATATCTCCAGATATTATTGAGTTTCGCGACGATGTTCACTTATATAAATAACTATATAAAAATCATTATTATAGTCATAGACATCTATATACATTCTTCGTAATTAAGACAGTACTCTTCGTGTATAACTAAATCGAAATATTATCAGAAAAATAAGTATAAAATGAGGTGTTTTCTAAAAATCTAATATATCAAAAATAGTGTAAGGAGAATCTTCGAAATACGATCAAGTGTATCTTCAGATATTAAAAAGTTTCACAACGTTCTTCACTTGTATAAATAATTATATAAAAATCATTATTATAAACACAGGAATCTATCTACATTCTCCGCAATTAAGACAATCGTCTTCACATATAACTAAATCGAAATATCATAAATATAAGTATAAAATGAGGTATTATTTATTAATCTTATACGTCAAATAAAATCTAAATAGTTTCTTCGAAATACGATCCCGTATATCTCCAGATATTATTGAGTTTCGCGACGATGTTCACTTATATAAATAACTATATAAAAATCATTATTATAATCATAGACATCTATATACATTCTTCGTAATTAAGACAGTACTCTTCGTGTATAACTAAATCGAAATATTATCAGAAAAATAAGTATAAAAAGAGGTATTTTCTAAAAATCTAATATATCTAAAATAGTGTAAGGAGAATCTTCGAAATACGATCAAGTATATCTTCAGATATTAAAAAGTTTCACAACGTTGTTTACTTGTATAAATAATTATATAAAAATCATTATTACAACATAGAAATCTATATACATTCTCCGCAATTAAGACAATCGTCTTCACATATAACTAAATCGAAATATCATAAATATAAGTATAAAATGAGGTATTATTTATTAATCTTATACGTCAAATAAAATCTAAATAGTTTCTTCGAAACACGATCACGTATATCTCCAGATATTATTGAGTTTCGCGACGATGTTCACTTATATAAATAACTATATAAAAATCATTATTATAATCATAGACATCTATATACATTCTTCGTAATTAAGACAGTACTCTTCGTGTATAACTAAATCGAAATATTTCAGAAAAATAAGTATAAAAAGAGGTATTTTCCAAAAATCTAATAAATCAAAAATAGTGTAAACAGAATCTTCAAAATACGATCAAGTATATCTTCAGATATTAAAAAGTTTCACAACGTTGTTTACTTATATAAATAATTATATAAAAATCATTATTACAACATAGAAATCTATATACATTCTCCGCAATTAAGACAATCGTCTTCACATATAACTAAATCGAAATATCACAAATATAAGTATAAAATGAGGTATTATTTATTAATCTTATACGTCAAATACAGTCTAAATAACTTCATCGAAATACTATAAAATGCATCTTCGAATATTATAAAGTTTCGCGACGATGTTCACTTATATAAATAATTATATAAAAATCATTATTATAAACACAGAAATCTATATACATTCTTCGTAATTAAGACAGTACTCTCCGTGTATAACTAAATAGAAATATCATAAATATAAGTATAAAATGAGCTATTATTTATTAATCTTATACGTCAAATAAAATCTAAATAGTTTCTTCGAAATACGATCACGTATATCTCCAGATATTATTGAGTTTCGCGACGATATTCACTTATATAAATAACTATATAAAAATCATTATTATAATCATAGACATCTATATACATTCTCCGTAATTAAGACAATCGTCTTCACATATAACTAAATCGAAATATCATAAATATAAG